AGAGCCGCTTTACTAAATTTATAAAAAAGATATGCAAAAAGTAGCTCTCAGTGTTTTGAATTTCCTAACCAAGAGATTTTCGTTAAAATGTTTCAAAATCAGGTCAGTCGATAGAGAATTAAATTGTCTACAAAATGGTTTATTTACTTTTGAGTTCTGACTTTTTCAAAAATTTCTGCAAATAAAACAAAATCATAGAAAAACGTCACGGAATTACGTACGCAGGTAGAGTTAGCTGACCAGGCCGTTCACTTATAATACAGTTGTTAAAAAGATTAAAGCTAAAAGTATCATAGACGGCTTGTCCACGTAACGCCACACTTCACTGATCGAGTTTTTTTTTGAATTTTTTTCATTAGAAAATCGATAGGGGCACGTCGTTAGGCGTAACTTTTCATGCTGATCACGAATCGGACTCTTTTTTTTGAAGAAAACATTACTTTTCAATATAAAAATTTTTAAAAACTTTAATTTCAATTTTCTGACCTAGACATTTGGTTCAAAAACTTTTAAAAACATATCATTGAATAGAGAATTCAGTTCTCTACAAAATGGCTCATTTTGTTTTGAGATCTATTTTTCAGCCAAGACATAGTGGCTGCTTGAACGTTTCAACTTCCTCGGTCTCAACTTTTCTTGGTCTGAAAGCTTCAGAATTTTTCGAACCTTATTTTCAACTGGAATCTTTTCAGGAAATCTAGAACTACACAGACTATGAGTATGAAGTTTTGTGAATAACGTTTAGTGTCTAAAAATAGTGTGACAAAAAAGTGTGTCATAGCGTTATCAAAACTGTCACTGCGTTACTTCACAAAATCGACTTTCCTAGGCGTGCGGAAGAGTTTGGAAAAAAGTTTTTTCAACCAAAAGAAAGCCCGTTAGCTTCTCTACAAACTTGTCTCTAGAAACTGTTCAGATGCTCAAATCGCAGAAAATCAGAGTTGTATCAGGAGCTCTCAAAATATAGAGATCTTTTCTGCCACAGCGTTACTCAACGAAAAATCTTTCTGGAAGCACGAGTCTTGAACCGAAAATCTTCATTTTTATATCGTAAGTAGAGTTTGGTGAGCTGCGTCGAATGGTGCCAGAACGAACTTTCTAGCTCCTACAATTTTTGAGAAAACTGCAAATTACTGTGTCAAAAATGTCATAGCGTTACCTTTGGACAAACCATAGAGTACATTTTCTAAACTAATATTCTGAATCAGAACAGTAACTTTAACTATTTGACGATTGTTCATGGTATTGAAACAAACACACTATTATAGATCTTTTCTTTGATATCTCACTGAAGATTCTAAATTCTCTCTTGCTGTCTCGGTAAAAACTCATCTCGGTAACTATAAATTCGTTTTCGACCAAACTTTCAGTAAAAGTTGTCAAAGTCTGGTAACGAAATTTTTTGAACTCGGTATATCTCCGTTCGTGGGTGTTGTTAAAACAAGGGTAATGAGTTCATAGTTCTCAAATTTCTCTGTTAAGACAGATGAGAAAGATCAGGGTTGGTCTTAAAATATGGTAATAGTGAAACATGAAGACATTCACAGACAGCACACAGATGACATGGAAGTCTTCATGTTTTACTATTATCCCTTATAATGAAGCAAATACTAATGGCGGCGAGCCATAAGAGATTTCAGATATGATTTTGTTCTAGTATTTTTATCAGGCATCACAAGGGAAAATCCAAGAAACATGATTCAGGTTTATGAGAAATCCTTCGCTTTATCAAAAACCAGACACTAATTCAAACTCTTGCACGTTGTAGTCATAAATGTTGGTTTAATTTAAGCTATTTTATTTTGCGTTGGCTTCATTCTGAAACGAGTCTGAACTCTCCGGCATCTTCCTAAAGAAGACTTTTGGGAAATACGAACGATCATGAATGAAATTTTGAGATAAAACGCTGTACATTTGATGGGTACATTCTAGGACTCGTAGGGAAATGCTTGGAACTTTTTTAGAGCACTGTTACACAGATCTATACTATAGTTCATTCTAATCGTAAAAATTTGTTTTAAAATCTATACCTTCAGATAAAATTTAATTGTATTCGAAAAGAACTGGTATTTAGTGATGTTGTTTTACGAGGCTCCTGAAAAACTTGTTCGAAAACCATAGAAAACATTTCTAAGGCAGAAAACGATACAGACTCTGAAAGTGAAAATTCTGTGCTCTTCAACCATGAGTTATATAATCGATATTATTAACAAAAATATCATTTTTAAGAGGGAGGATCAACTTAAATCATGACAAGTAACAATACAGTTAATGTGCGAGCAGAACACCATGACACTATCATCAAAGACTACTTATTGTTACTTCTTTACATTGTAGAAACCAGGCAACAAGATTCCACTATTACAACTTTTTGGATATGCTTAAGATCGTTCGTAAATGTAAAAATAGGACGCGCTACTTATTTGTAGCTATTTGTAGTCTATGCGTTAGTATTATTCTCGTGACAATTAGCATAATGAGACGGACTCAACCAGTCGCTACCGTGGGTAATAACACGTATCTCATTCATTCGATGGTAGAAGATCGTCTTGACACCGTTAACCTAAATCGTGACACTCGAAAAGCCATACAAGAACTACTGAATATCCTGCAACGTTTCGAGTTCACCCAACACCATAACATTTCTACTGCTACACTTTCTACGACAGTAGTCACAACGTCTAAATCAAAGAGAACTCGTTTAAGGACCAATAAACCTAATTCGTATGTCCGTGTTAATTTTGATCAACGTTCTTATCCAAACATGTGTAGATTGAATGATATTTTACTTGTTTATATTTTATCGACTGTGCACAATCTTGAAAGGCGATATTACATTCGTCAGACGTACGCAAATAAAACACATCATCCACTATTAAATCGTACCTGTTTTATTTTCCTCGTAGGACTGTCAGCATCTGCAGACCCTGAATTAGAAAAAAAAGTAAAGTTAGAAAAACTAAAGTACTATGACATCATCCAAATTCAACATAATGAAACTTATCAAAATGTTATATTTAAAGAAGTAGGAGCACTAAAATGGTCATATCTGTATTATCCTAACATTCCCTACTTATTCAAAACAGACGATGACCTCGTTACTGACACTATTTTACTGTCAGCCATTATTAATTTATTTCTATACAAAAAGTCGCAAAGTGACTATTTGGATAAAAATCTCAGTCATGTTGTTACCAGTTTAGAAAAAATAAATAAACACACATTTTTTCGTGGATCAGATATGTCTGGACAACCTACTCAGAGAAACACGGGAAAATACGGTGTGAGCGAGTTGGCATGGAATTATGATACGTTACCTGTATATTGCAGCGGATTTGGCTTTTTAATGTCCAAATTTGTTAGAGATCGACTATATCGAGCATCATTACATTATCCAATAGAAAATGTTGCTTGGGTTGGTGATGTGTTTGTATCCGGATTTCTTGCAGGTGCCGGTGCGGTCAGATGCGGTGGGTGGAATTTAGATTATGCTCAAGTTGGCAGTGGTTGTCCTGATCTGTTTAAGAAACCACAAATGCTCGTTTGTAGCACACCAATGCATATTGGTCAAAATAAATATTGTGAATACGGGAAAATATGGGACACCATTATGCGGAGGCATGTAAATAATAACAACTCACTGGTGATACAACAAACAAATAACTCAACGCTCAATCAGACAATAGTTTTAAACTTGCCATCGTATTTAAATTGCAATGAATCTTTTACACTGTGATAATGTTTTTTAAAATTATTTATTATATATCTGTTGTCCTTGAGTGGAGAAAGGACTACACATCCCTAATGATGATAATCGGGAGCAGCAACATAATAGAGCTATGATACTTGACCAGGAATAACTTTAGTGAAAAAATCAAGGGGGAAACAACTGATTTTTCCGATTTTCGTCGATTTTCATCGATTTTCACCAAATGAAAATTCATCGGAAATTACTGAAAGTCATTGGAAATCACTGAGAATCACTGAAAATCAATTAATTTTGGTTGATTTTTGACTGATTTTGGGCTGATTTTAATCAGCTGTGTCCCCCTTGCCACAGTGTGCATTTTTCCATAGGCCAGGCGGATATTTGCTACAGAAGCAGTCCGAAAGTCTATAGACACATTTTTATAGGTTTTGAGATATGCTCTTTCCAGTGGCGTGCTTCACAAAGTTTCAAGAGGCTTTCATCTGAGTTCTCCAGAGACCGGCTCTCTGGAAAACCTACACTTAAGTACTCTGGAACTTTGTAAAGCACGCCATTGGAAAGAGCATATCTCAAAACCTATAAAAATGTGTCTATAGACTTTCGGACTGCTTCTGTAGCAAATATCAAAATCCTTAGCCAAAATCGTCACGCTATGCTTCGACTCTAGCTTTCCCTTAGATCCAACAAGTTTTTCCTCAAAAAACCTACTAATCGCACATCATTCGATGCAGTTTCTTGCGCTGATCCCAGATATCGTATTTATATGGAATAAAAACCTTTCTAGGCTGAAAAAAAGGAAAACATCTGAAAAAGCATGGTTTTTTGGAAAACCTGCTGTACGCTTCAGAAACATTTGCATTAACACAGATGATAGAGGGAAGCTAGAAGAACATTTTGTCAAAGTTTGAACGAGTTTCACATTGGGATGTGAAGGGGACACTCATTTTACTGAAAACAGGTGTTCGAAAAACCATTTAGGAAAAACCTTTATTTTTTTCTCAATAAAGTCGAACTTAAGAATTCTTTTATCGCATACCTTAACCCTAATATTCTCACGTGGGATAAGTATCGGCCGATCATAGGGATCAGCAGATCATTCCTCAGGTGATAATATAAGGGTCACCCGGTATGATTTCATTGTGCAGTATTCTTGCTTTATTTCGTCTGACAAATATTTGACGATCTCATGCTCCGTCCGAATATATCATGTAATTTCGAATAAAAGATGTATTTCTTAAATGTAATTGAAAAAAAATTAGGAAAAATAGCATACGATTGGCCAATGTTCGGCTAAACTCACCACCAAAACAATTGAGAAGCATTATTCAGGAATTCCATCTTCTCACTTAAAACTCTAATGTCGTGAAAATTTTTGGAAAAATGTCAATCAATAACTTATTTGACTCTACCGCTCATGTTGACAACAAATATGGGATTTATGTTGATGCGAAAAGTTTTTCCGAAGGTGTGTGTAGTCGAATATTGATTAATTTTATCTAAGAAATACATTTTTTATTCGACACTACATGATATATTCGGGCAGAGCATAAGAAATTGCATTGCTCTACTCATTGGTCAGAGTAACATGTATGGTATTCTAGAATTCCGACAGAATGCTGAAGTCTACAAATCCCAATACAAGTGCTTCCCTTGCTCCGCTGGTCAAACTACGTTTTCTATATGAAAAATTCTTTGTTATTGAAATTCATACCAAATTTTCATAGTTCTCGGTTTTATAGTGGAATTGGTGGAGAATCTGGATTTTTGATTTCCCTGGAAAATTTCTTCCTCTTGTAATTCCAGTCCAAATCTAATAAAAGAAAAGGAATTCTACTTCACAGTGTTATGCTTCAAAACTATTTATGAGCGTTAGCTAGTATCAGATATGTTGTACAATAAATCAAAGATATTTGTTGACATATAACACTGTTAAATATTAAATGGTTAGAGACAAAAATTCATTTTAAGATCATCCCTTTTCAAGCAGATTTCGTCTGTATATCTATCTGTAAGCGCTCAGAAGGATTAGATTATCTCATAAGATGAATTCAGATACATTAGAATAATAAAATACGATGGGTCGATTCCAAGTCTTATGAGGATTTGTCATCTTTGTTATCGAATAATTGCATTATTTGAAAAATATAGATCATTATTCAGGTGTAAAGTATTCGGATTGCAGCTAACAGTAGAAAGTAGATGACCTTATATCAATAGCTTTCGGCTAGATATTTTGTAAATGGCGTTCAGTTGATAATAATGTCTGTAGACAATACGAGGAGAGTCTCGAACCCAGATCCTCAGGTTCGATCATAGTTAAAATGTGTCATAAAAAGCACATAGTAACGTAAAATATTATTTTAGTGAAAGTTATTCAGTAGTACAAAATATATTTACTAGCAGTTATATTATAACACATTGGAAAAATGACATTTCATGGTCATGATTCACCGAGACTCTTTAGACTGCTGATTGTTGGCTTATATTAAACACATTATAAAGAGAGAAATTTTTCTGCATCATCTGAAGCTGCACGAAATACTTATATACAAACAAAAAATCAAAAAAATATCATAAAAAGTTAAAATCAGACAATGAGATACGATGTTGCCAGTATCTCTATAATAAAGAATCTTAGAAAGCTCTGGGATATATGGTTTTATTGAGCGAGCTTTTGAAAACTCTAAAAATCGTTCTGATATCTTCATTCGTTCTTATTTCGAACTATGTACAGAGAAACTATGAATAGAATTTAGTTATACACTTTATTAATATTTTCAATTGTTTCTAATTCATTTTGGTTTACTTTATAAATGCGTAGATATCATACATATGATCCATTACACTAATCAATACCATCAAAACACCGAAAGATTCGACGGAAAAATAAAATATTCAAATAGAATCTGGTCCAAATGTTACATTTAATATTTGTGCTAAATAATAATTACTCATAGATAGGATCTAAGATCATTCAACGAAAATTAATTCATAATAGATTGAGTGTCAAATCAGAAACATCGATAATGTTGATGCTATTATTGCGTTTATACTTGCTGAACTTTCTGTAAATCCGTTAAATATTTTGTATTTATCTAAAAATTATTCGATATATTAGTTTATGCTGGAATTAGGGACTTATAATACTGTCCATATCAAAATTATCGTCATTTATTATTATCGATGGCGCCTTGATCAACAATTGAAACGATTTTTACTTCATCTTGATTGTGAAAGTGTAAATTTTCTTTTAGATGTCCTCTATCTTGTTATATCTTCTTCCTTTTATTCAAAACGTATGTCTGTTACGGAACTGGAAAATGTTTCTTCGAGTCAAGTTTTATAATAACAGAGTGTAACTTCTGAAAAATGTTTTTTCATAAAAATTAAGTCAACGAGTTTAGTTATTGAATGATATAATAACTTTCATTTTATCTATATTAATGATTGTGCGACATAATTTTTTCATCAGTTCTAAAATAAAATAGAAACAAACCAAAATAAAAGGTAAAGATACTTCCATATAGGTTCAAGGATTAGACTATATAATGGCGAATCTCTAAGTTTTGTACGTTGGTGACGACATTCTTCATAGTGTTTTATGGACAACTTTATAAAAAAAAAACTCTATACGGTGTTCTTCGAAATGTTTAAGATACATCAGAGGCTCGTTAAAATAGTATGTGTGTGTGACACAGTTTTTATTCTTCCCTCTAACAAATACTAATAAATTCTATTGATGCAAATTTATATCTTAATGTCAAAAAGAAACGACGAAATAATGATTTTCACGTTCATTAATAACTGTTTCGTGTTTTATAATAATAGTGAACATTTGTTACTAATCTATGACTAGTGATGATAAAAGCTAATGCTGATTTATCTTCAGAAAAAACAAGAGTCTTCCTGATAGCTTTTATGAACGTATTGATGATTGGACTAGTAAAAGAATCAAGGTGTCTTGAGGGAGATTAAAATCATCATCAGGATTTATTAGTGTTCACTAGGAAGAAGATTATAATTATTTGTCAGATGTATACTATTGCAACTTACTTCTGGTGTACCTTACATCTTAAATCATCATCACTACATACCCATCGCATTTCTGTATTATTCTCAGACCTTTCTACTACTTTAAAGAAGTGATACCTTTATCAAATGTAACTTGCTCTTTTTAATATTGCTTTATTTCTTCACTATTTTCGGTGTTGCATTAGCATAAGCTAGCCTTTCTTTGCAACAACCATGCTTGCAAAAATAAAAATTCAGTTCAATTCAATCAAGTAAATAATTTAATGTCTTACTATTTTAAAATTTGATGAGGGCGTTGATCACAATCTTACCTAGCACAGCAAGTTCTTGTATCTATTGTTGATCGCTATATGACAAAAGAAGATTTCTAGCGGATGCCTTCTTTGCATTTTATTACGGTTGCTCAACATCGTATACGTTGTATCCTATATCATTATCAAGATTTTACATTATTGTCACATCAATTTACTGAGAAAGGGTTGTCACATCACATTTAATGAGAAAAGGGTTACCGTGAGTAATACACATCAGACTCTTCTAGAATATTAATCGATTGTTCAAATCTATCTTTAGGGTAGAAACTGTGCAATATCCATTGGGTTGGGTCTCTTCTTTTGTTGGAACGAATACATGTTTGAAGGTGCCTTAGCCAGCTGCTGTGTAAATTGGTTACATACAAGTCGCTTATTTATCTCGGTTAATATCATCATTTTGATGTTTATTTATTCCATTCCTCTTATAATTTTGATTGTCACTCGGCAATATTTATTGGTATTAAGCGAATGTAAAATAAAGATAAAAAAGGAATGAAAACGGAATCAAGTCCAAAACAAATAGAAATGGAACGATGAACTGTCAAAAGTAATTGAGAAAGCCATTTGACATTCTCTAGCAGTTGTTTTACTTGGGTTATACTCTGTTTTCCAACAGAAAATGAAAAATTCTGTCATTTTTGCTGTTATTTGTTGATTTATTTTTGCTTTCCAAAAGGTTCAATTCTGTTTTTCTAGGTATTCTCATCATCCTACTAGGATTTGTTTGCACGTAGTCATCATTGACAGGCCGCCAGCCGGACAATTAGAAAAAAATATCAAGGGCAATAAGCAGTTATTGCCCTGTGAAGAATTATATTTCGCAGCAGCATATCTGTCCGAAGTTCAAAATAAAGTAAGAGCAATTGTTGATCGAAAAATTTAATGTACACTTTAAATGAAGGGGGTAGATGCTATCGATGAGAATTTCATTTAAATAGAATACCAGTTTATGGGTAAAAGTCATGTATCAGCGGATATGAACTGCATGGAATCACCACTTATAAATTATTATAACTCAACTACAACTATGAATAAAAATTTTGATTTCTGACTTTGATTTAAGCCTCAAAAAAAAAATCTTCTAAAAAAGAAGCCAAAACAAAACTATTATAGTATTTTAATAACTGAACTATTGAGAAACAAAATCATTTTTGTACAAAATTGAATTTAAACACATCTGTTGATTCAGTAAACTATTTAGAAAATTCAACAGATTCATTTCCGTTGGAGATAATTATATTTCATTAAACTTCTCCTTTGATGTTGTTATTAACAGCTATACACTATTCCTATTACTGTATTTGTAATATTACGTCATATCAACATAACATGATGATAGAAACAATATCCATTACTTTAGAACAACCGTGATGATGATGTTGACAATTTACTTTAATGATTTAAAATAACAACAGGTTGTAAAAAATCTTATTTGTATTATTAAAATCATTCCAGTAGATGGCGAGAAAATTGTCATATATACAACTAAAACAGAAAAATATTTGTCTAGTCGACAAACTTTGATATAATTCGCGATGAGAAAAAATTAACTAGTAAAAGATAGAATTATTTGTATAAACATTTTTTGATAGTATGGCGATAATCCGAGTAAAATAGTGACGGTTGTTTATTTTGAATCGTATTTTCTGCAAACAATCTCTCTCGTTAACTGAGCATTTTTGTTCCATTTAAAACACAATTAATGAATTGAAAGTTTCAAAGGAATTTGGATGCAGACTGAAGTTTTCAAACCTTTCCCCAGCATTTTTTGTGCTGTTGATACTGATAATGTTATTGTGACGTATATAAAAAAAGTGTCTTCTATCTTCTACACTAGTATATAACTGGTAAAAATCTGGTACTTTTTTTAACCTTATACAAACTAAAATTAACTGACTGAATACACCAAAAATATTACATACAAACCATGTTTCGACTACTGATATTAATTAAGTTTAAAACCAATCAGCATCTATAACTCGGACTTAACTTTTTATCGACCAATCAGATTCGTTAATGCTCGTTAACTTTAGTAGTCTGAACATCATAGTGATAATTATATGCACTCTCCTGATTCATAGTAACAAAATTTCCAAAAAAGTTAATTGCCTATGATAAGCGAAATCTTGCGGTATTAGATTGAGTCAACGAGTCGTCCATATAAAAAGAATTGCTTACGATAAAAAAGTTACCATTTTTGATATTATCGACTCTAATTCATACCATACACAAGTACCACGATATTTACTACTTTTCTATTCAGAGTATTTGCTTTATCAGACTGATGGCATTCGTCATTCGCATGAACGGTGGCGTCCAATATTCTTATTTCCTAGCATTGTCAGAACAATCATTCATCGTTCTTTCTTCAAAAATCAATCAATCAAGCACACACACTCTCCCTATCTCTCTTTTCAATACATAAATGCGACTGTAGAAAGATACATTGTATAGATAAAGAACTGCACTCTTGTTTTGAACAGTCTATCGATAGTAGGCGTGCGCCATCGATCTCGTGATTCACCATACAACTTACATTACATTGTTTTAACTCAAGGTATAAAAGAGGAAGATGGAAAGAAATAAAACATGTATATTTAATTGTCCGCACTTCATCTTCAAACGCGCGTAGGATTAGACGATGATATTTTTCAAAAAAAAAGCTGTTGAAATGCATTAAACACTTGGCTTTTGTCTAAACATGAATCAGCACATGGGTCAATGCCAATTCTCTTCTTCCTTTCTCTACTTTCTTAATGGTCCGGTTCATCCAGAACAGAAAAGAAAAAAATAGTGTGAGTGGAGTCTATATTCTCTGAATCTCATTTGTCATTCTTTAGACCGTCTATATGACGACTAGAGAGAGAACAATAAAAAAAAGAGAGAGATACAACGAGTGTTCAATATCATTATTTTTATTATTGTTCTCTTTCTCTCTGTTCAATCTCGTCAATTGTGACCGGAAGAAGACAAAAAAAATATTCGATTCTCGTCGTCGTCCAAAAATGGTTGACTGAACAGAGTGTTCAATCTGCTTCTTTTTCATATATTGTATATTCTCTGTTGAATGATGTCAGACATTCTTGATATCCTTGACTCTAAGAGTAGCGGAGGTTAGTTTATAAGGTCACTATCAGACACGTACATCACAATTTGCCATGTTGTATGTTTTTTTCCTTTTTCTTATAAAGACAGCAATTCAGATTTCGTCAATTTTATCGATAGTGGAAATTTGTCGGAAAGTTCTGAAAGTTCAAATGATTATTTACTAAACACAACAAATGATGAGAATGAAAATGAAACACCTATTCAACGTTTACAACGATTACAATCATCTTATTCAAATTATAACGAAAGGTAAAAATGATTATGTTTTTTTATCTTTTAAAGTAGCTTGAACTGATCCAATTATACTTTAATCGCTTTATCTTGGTTTTTTTTTCTAGAAAAGATGCCGTAAAATATATACTTGATGCATTGCGTATGGTGCAAAATGAGGAAAACTTATGTACAATATTACAGTGTACTAAAAGGCTCGCCGATGATATTGGTAAGTGTACCTTAATTAGTTGATGGTAAACAGGAACAAGTATTTTTACCTTTTTCTTATTTCAGTAACCCAAGTTCAGATCGACGCATTGGAGAATTTTGTTCCTGTTTTGGAGTGCTTAGCACAAACGGTTGAAAATTCCGAAGTTCTTGTTAGAGAATATTTATTTCAGTCAATTATTCAAACATTGGAACATGCAAATAACAGAGTAGGTTACCAGTAAAATTCTCTTTTTTAGTCAATGACAATCTAAAAACTTTCTCCTCCGTAATTATATGTATAGCGCCTTCATTCTGCTGTGGTGATCTTTCCCTTAACGTAAATTTAAAAGTTAATTTATTCATAGAAAGTTATATTTTTCTTACTGATGTAGAGACGAAGTCCTAATACTTTTGTCCATATTCAATGACGTTTACTATGCTCCTGTTTTTTAGGTTCGCAAAGCTAGTCAAGCTGCTTTAATTCGAATATTTGAATTAGAACAAATCAATCAAGAAGAAATTGAACAAGATGTAATACCAGCATTAGTGAATTTAAATCGTGCATCTGATGAGTACAAAAATGAAGCTATTATGGTATGGACTCCAATATCCAGTATCTAACTAATAGTTTTCTGTTTTAGTCTTATCTGTCATCCTATGAAAGACATGGGTAGTGAGATGTTGAATGCTTAACTCATCTTGCTAGTCTGTCTTTCCAAAGGATGATTAGGAAAGAAATCGTCGCCCAAATTCCTAGCTTGACACAGTGTTCTAATATCATTCTACCAACAGTGCTGTGAATATGTTGAGAAATTCATATCACAGCCAGCTTTGGTGGAAATGGTGGAACAATACTCGGCTCATACGTATGGTATTTCACTTTAGTCATTTTCATATATGACTTCATTTGAATGCATTATAATACCGAGTTAATAGAAAAAACGTAGGAGGAACATAAAAAAACTCATTCAACACAACTTAGAACATAGGTCAAGCGGCGTTTAGTTTAATTGTGTTCTACAGTATTTTATGCTCTCACTAGACATTTCTATTTAGCTTTGTGTGTGTTTCTAATTTGTGTCAACAAACCCGTTGTGAAATGTGGTGTCTGTTAGGTCATATCACAGCCGCTTTGTTGACACAAATAAAACGGCGACGATTATTCTTGATTCACTAATATCTCTACTATTGCTCTAGTGTTCGATTTCTAACAGTGGTGCTATATTGTTTTAGCTAATGGGTCGTTTAGCTCAATATGTTGGCTCTGAATTAACATTAAAACATTTTGTTCCAGCAGTTACCCAATTATGTTCAGCAATTGCGTTTCAAACACGAAAAGTGCGTCTGATTTATCGTACTAGGAGATAATTGGTTAGAACACCATTTTCGTTTTAGACGTGTACAACAGCAATTGGTGATTTTGCTACAATTATTCCAACATACGCTGTCGATGAATATCTTGTAAATTTATATTTTATTTAATAAATCAAACAGGTTTTGTTTATCATTCAGTGTTTTGCTATAGCAAATTGCTTTCGTTCTAAGGAGAGTCTTAGTTGATGTGCATCTGCTATTGGAGGCCTTGAACGATTTGGATTTTACTTAATGCGTTCGGTGTTCTCGTCATTATATTAAAAAAAAAGTCGTTCCTTGACGAGAAATAATAAAAAAAGGAATAATCAAAAAAATATTTCTAATAAAATGTAATATTGAATTTTTATAAATTAGTTCTCCCAAAACAAATATTCTCAACAGTTCGGTGACAGCTTACGAGTATGGGGGAACACTGTTTCTTGTTGAGTGCCTCTAATGAATTTTTACATGATTACATTTCGCACTTCGCGTGAGGGAAAGAGCCGTTAGGTATGAAAATGGATAATCAGAGTGCTCTATCGAACATTTTTCAGGCAGTTTTTGACGGTGTCTTCTTTCAAAATGAATCGTATTAGGCTAACACAACTTATATTTGTGTTTTAGGTTCCTTGTATAGAACACTTATGTTCGGATGCATTTTGGGGTGTCCGTAAAGGTTGTGCTGAGGTATTACATCCTTTGGCCACGGTTTGTTCGTTGGAATCCCGATGGAACATTCTTTCGCCATGTCTTATTCAGTTGTTACAAGACCAATCAAGATGGGTCAAAACAGCAGCTTTGAGAGTTTTAGGCTACTTTATATCTACATTTCATGATCCAAATAGAGTAGTTAGTGTTGCAAAATCTTCTACAACAACATCTTCAGTTTCAAAGCAATTAAATGATCTATGTCAAGACTTAAAAGATGAAAGTATATCAGATACGTATAATGATTTCCAGTATTGGAGAATAGAACCAAAAACTAAGATTGATGAGCCTGAACAAAATAATGAATCAACCGGTGATTTTGATAACAGTGAAATTATGGATAATACAAGTAGGTAAATAGACATTTGTGACTTTAATATTATAAGGACCGTTTTCTTCAATGATTATGTCTAGAATTTTTAATTCTATAGCATAGTTTTTGATTCTCAGCTGTAATATCTTATGCAAAGAGACCGAAAATAGTTGACCTAACTTTGAGTATTCAAAATGATCATAATTGTATTCAAATGTTGTTTTTCAATTTACCTACATTTTGTCTAAATGATATATGTTTTATTTAGGTTTACCACGAAAACAGTCTTTATTAGAAGCCTCAAAATCATTTGATCAAGATAATATAAACGTAAGTTTCACTGATAATTTCTTTAATTGTTGCACTATAACGTCCGATTCCCTAGTTTTGACCATTTTAATCCCTTGATTGTCATTATAATGTGTTATTCAGTCGTATTTGTGGTTTTAGAATATATTACCTCTGAGTTTATTAGATTTTTACACATCGATAATTGAACAATCATATAACAGTGGTGTTGAAACAGATATCGTTCATCAAGGTGCTCATACATTTCCGGCTGTAGCATTGACAGTAACACATAAAAATTGGAATCTAATCAAGGATACACATCGGAAGTTGTCAGAAGATTTACAGGTGAATAGTTCTTTCTTGATAGTTGTCCTTTTCAACTATTTATCTTTGTAATTATAGTGGAAAGTTCGACGAACTTTAGCCTACTCATTACATGAATTAGCTAAAATTTTAACACAAGATCAAACTGAACAAGATTTGTGTCCAATATTCGATTCATTTCTAAGAGATGTTGATGAAGTTAAAATTGGAATTATTACTTATCTAGCAGAGTTCTTTAAAGTATGGAACTTTATAACTATTCAGTTGAATAGAAATAATTACCGGAACCTTTACTGTTTCAACATACTTCAAGACATTTATGTTTTACTCTTTTAGTTACTTCGTCAGTCGACGCGAAATCAATATTTGGAAAAATTAACCTATTTAACATCTGTTGATAATCAGAGAAATTGGAGATTTAGATCCGAAGGTGCAATGTACGTAATAATTGTCTTGTTGCGTTTATGAAGGAGAATAAGATCCTTTCGGGAGATCGACTATATAAATGTGCACAAAGCGAATGAAACAAGAATAAATAGACGGTTGGATAGGTTGCCTACGATCTATCACATCTAAGTTTGACTAGCGAATGTGAAACTAATTGAAAGTTTTGCGTTTTCCATGGTATTGTGCTGTATTCGGAAAGTTACTTTTTTATGCATTGATGCCACCATTTTTTCTGGATATAATCTGACTCTTATTTCTTTATTTGTAGACAATTGCAGCAATTGTGTTCATTATATGATTCATGTGATATTAGCAATTACATCTTACCATTGGCGTTTTCGTTATCTGTTGATAAAGTTCACGATGTACGACGAGAGTCAATTAAAGCTCTAGCATCATGTTACGATAGATTTAGTCAAACGAAATCACAAGAACAATGTGAAATATTTATTGAAGATAGTCAAAGAGTATTTGCGCAATCAACAGAATGGAGATTTAGACAAGCGTATGTGGATGCGTTTTATTCGTATTTATTTCTCATTTAAGTCTGTTAGATTCTTTTTTTTGTGGTGGAAAGGGCTAAATCTCTTGAAGAACTAGTGAATTGAATGTACCTCCATTTGAAAATAAGAGTTGTTCGTTTATGATCTGTAGCTTGTACTGGATTTATTTAGATATGTTCATTTATGTCAAGAGATCGTTGAACGTCGATGTGAAACGCCACAGCAGTTTGCTTTGAGATTTTTAGAAGCCTTATTACAGCTAAAGCATGATCAAGTTGTCAATGTACGATTAACATTAGCGCAATTTTTACTATCACATTTAACAAATAATTCAGGTAACCAACAGACAACATCTATATACATTTATTTTGCTCAATTGTGTAGAAGTAGACTAAATGAATTATAATTTTCAAACGTATGCAGTATAGTTAATCGAGATTAACCTTAGTGAGATGCTATAGACGAACACTTACCCAAAATAAAAAGCCTAAACGGTGGACCTTCTTCATGTTCAGTCCCTTTCATTGTTCATGATTTATAATATCATCTTTTTTATTATCATTTAGATTATTATTCTTACTTACCTGATCATTGGCGAAATCAAGTTAGTGAAGCAATTCAGTTATTACAAAATGATCCTGAGAGAGATGTGAGAATATGTGTTGGTGGTTTGTATGAACAATTACCACCACCGGATTTAATCCAGCAAGCAACGTCATCAACGACGACAAATTCTATGGAAAACCAAAATAAAATAGATAAAAATGAGCAAGAAGATGGAACGAATGAACAAAAAACATCAATATCATCTTCGTCAACGAATAACAATCAAAATTTTATCAAGATTTTTTGAGTATAAATAATACCTATTTTCTATACTCTTAACTAATACTTATCTCTTTTCTTTTTAGAGTATGATTGAATTTAAGCAATCGATGGTTAATCACCGTTTCAATATTCTTATTTTTTCCGCTAATGTCTATCATGGTTATTAATTATTCTCTTCCACAAAACTATCTGTTTGTTAGGTGACTCTATGGCTTAGAATCACCATGAAATAGATTGATTTTGTCTCTTTTGTGAAAACTTTCAGGGCTTTCCTTCGTCAGAAGCAAAAATGAAGTTTAAGTTTAAAGAAGTTTTTAGGGCAACATGGTTGTTTTTGTACTTTTTGTTATCCTCTCCCATTCCTCCTAACCGCCAGTCGGACGAATAGGATACGAACGGCGTGGTGTCTTGTGATCTGTAACTGTTTGTTTTGTCTTCTTCTCTTGTTAGTGCCAGCCCTGTTATCTAACATATCAACGACAAAAGCACTAGTTGCCGAAATAAAGATGTATTCATACTAAAGCGAGAATTGGATGTTTCTTGTGGCTCAGTTTGAAGGAAACCATAGGTAGACGAATGAGTATTGATTATATATTTTTGCGTATATCCAGGAAGAAAGTTTTCACATTTTTGCTCTCCTAGGGCAATGCTGATTTTTTTGATTTGTTACATTTGATTTGTTTTCCTTATTTCTCACAGTATATATAAATATATATGAAATAATTTATTTTTGGTATTTTACACACATGATAGAGACTGCAGAATGATTAATGGTTAACTTCGAAGCGTAGACAAAGATCACGTTGGTGGTTCATGTTAAACTAAATTTATAAGTCTTTGTCATACAAAACCAATGTGTAGTTCATCTTGTGAAACAAACCATGGAAATCAATATTATATATAAATAATCAGACAGCTTTAGCCGTAAACTCTTTAGGAAAGTAAATCAATTTAATTAATTATTTTACTAAATAATTTTCATAATGAATTTCTACAGCGGCAAATTGTAAAGGAAATCAATTATGCAAGACTTGTGCTGATACCCAGTGTGCTTTTCTCATTCAACATTGTTGATTTATGATCACGGCAGTTTCTGTCGATAGCGTTCGATCATTACTAAGCGCAATATTTTACACTAAAAGATGATGCATTTCCAGCAGGTTTGATACCAATTTGTTTTTTCCAGCAGACTACTAACTAAGGTACCAATGTGTCCACAGATAGGCAAACTTGTATATCTATTACTGGTTTGACAGCATTCAACTATTCCTAATAATTTTGTCACAATTTCTTAACAGACAATATTAGTATCGGACATCATGAAACAGCACACATCACACCATTTTCTTGACACGAAGCTTTTTTACCAAATAACATCCATAACGAATTTCTACAACGAGTTGTGAAGAAAATCGATTACGAAAGATTTGCGCCGATACCCAGTGTGTGCTTTTCTCATTCAATATCGTTGATTTATGATCACGACAGTCTCTATTGATAACGTTCGATCATTACTAAGCTGAGAAAGGACGCTTTAAGAAAAACAAAAAAACTTTTAAAATGCGTCAGTATTCTGATGTTTTTCTGTGGATTTTCAACAGCTATTTCTGTCATTTGGTCGACAAAATATCAGATCACATGTATGACCCTAAAAGAGGAGCCATTATTTGAGAAGTTATTAGACATCATTGCCAAAGTTTTCAAATATTATATGATGAAATTACTGTACTTTGAAGATACTGTTTTTAGAAGTAAAGGGCTAAAAATTGATGAGAAATTAAAGTGCACATAGAATAATTTGAATGGTACGAAGTGTTCGTCATTTTTCAAACTTTAAAAATAGAATTTACAATTTAGTGACTCACTAGGGAAGTTCGCATTCCCCGCCATCAACTGGCAATAGCAGACATTTGCATTACTCATTAATTTTAGACGTTGGATTGGGTAGAAAAATTGTTGAATGAAAGTTACGAAGAGGATTGTGAGAATCAGGTGTCGCGTTCCATAGTCATTGTAGAGACACAGTGGGAGTCGTATCGCGAAAAAACTTTTAAAGTCAAACCTTAAAGTCAAAGTCTAGACTTAAGTGTATAAAATTAGCATGTAAGTGCATATAACGAAGTCCTAAGTCTGACTTAAGTTTTTTCGTGATAGAACCCTGTGACTGGTTTAGCGGAGAAATATAACTTAGTTACTAAATGTTTGCATATAAAAGATTAAGTGCATTCTTTTTTCTTTTTTCATGGCATCTTAAGGTGAAAGAGGAAAGAAAAATGTTACCATTTCACTCGGTTTATACCGATCGTTAATTGACATTAATAGCAAAAGTATCGGGTCGAACAGAAAATATGAATAATAAATTTAACGTCTCTGACCTAACTCTACTTAAAACACAAAAAGTAGTTATAGTAAATAGACAAATATCAGTAGAAGATAATTGTACCTCATTTGCAGCACGTAAATCTGTAAACATTTTCGATTCTAACATACAACTGCTATCACACAAAATTATATATGAAAACCGAATAGAAACGTGGTGTGGAATTCAATTTATTGTGCGATACAATAGACGGGGACTTGTGTCAAAAACATTAAGGTAAAACATAGTCGGAGTCTTTTCTTCCAGTAAAATAGAAAAAAACTTTTAGTTTCATGAATAGAGAATGTTTATAGATCGTTTTCTTTATTATAGAAGCCCATCCTTAACCATATATTTTCGAACACAGTTCGCAGAGAGTTCATTTCTGATATCGGCAATAGTTGATGAATGTTAGTATTCTCCGATAATGACATCGAGTAAAGACCTCCGCAGAGCATCTATACCTGGTGATAATTCATGTTTATTCTCATGTATTCAATATATTATCTACAACGGTTGCTATGATTTAGCTCAAAATATACATTTTCGTCGCATGGTAGCGTCGTATATTACCCATAATACAAATATTCATTATTATGTTACACAACCAATTCCGGTATATTGTGACTGGATTCAAAATGAAAAGCATTGGGGTGGTGAACTAGAAATATATGTATTATCTAAAATTTTTTCAGTTCAATTTCGTGTGATTGATATGTCGAAAACCGAAAAAAAGATTATCTCATATGGCGAAAAACTCTATACAGAATGCGCTTATCTATATTACAATGGAACACATTATGAACCATGTTATTCGCCAAATGAAAACGACGATAATAATGTAAAACAAACAAAATTTTCATCAGATGATCCAAAAATAGTCGAATTAGCTAAAAGTCTTATTAAAGTAGAGTGCTTGAAAAAGTGCCTCGAAGAATGTTTAAGTAAGTGTGGTTATGGATTTCGATAAAGCCTCCGAGATGTTGTACATTTTGTCAATGGAATGTGTCTATTGTTGCAAAAAGTATTTTTCCTAATGTATTGCTAATTATACAGTCTAACTCGCCCAAAACTGCTTTTGTGTGTCTCTTCCACCATGATCTCTGCGAGCCGTTTGGACACATCATTCATTGTGTATAACATAATCAGTTAATGGGACGCAGTTATTTCTCGACAAATTCATAAATGAAAATAATACAGTAAAAGGAAACGAATAGTAATTACATATAGGAGAGATAGTCATTTTCAAAACCGTTGAAATGTTTTCTTGTTTCTTTTACAGATGATGACCATGAAGATGTCATGGGTGAACCAGAATCCGAAAGTAAGAGAATTCTAGCTTATTTTGGCGATATTTATATAGCTGTTGAATTCGATTTATTGTAGATAACGTTCATCATGATCAACAAATTGAGGAAGAAAAACGAATGGAACTTGAAAAAAGTATAAAATGATACATAGTGCAACGTACTCTAGTCAATGCTTAGGCTCTTTTTTTCAGAAAATAGCTGTACTAAATTGGGTATACTGACATGTGAAACCAGTTTACAGCATGATATAGGTAAGAATATTCTGATGATTTTTTTCCGTCGCTTTAACACTTTCAGCCATGATATTTTGCAGTATTAGATATATTACCAACAATAAATGTACAATTGGATAGAAATAATATCCATGGTAAGTGATGAACATGTATCAATATTTAAGAGTAAAGAGTTTTTCTGTTTATTTGTTCTAGTAACGGGAGACCATGGTTCTTTACCAAACGACGTTTGTATGGTATCGAAGATCACACTTCCGTTACCTCATGAATTTGGAGAAAACAAAGATTCTGCAGCAGAACCAATTGCTACTGTAAAACACACGGGTGATCGATTACAACTTGTTGAATTTCTTCAAGAAGAATACCGTGGATATTATAAAACTCAATATAAGCCTAAAAATCGTCCAAGAAAAGAACCGAAATGTGGCACAAAACAAATGCATTGTGTTACATACATGAAGGATAAGAATGGAAAGACATTAAAACTTAGAGTAAGATGGAAAGGCTTTTGCATTCAATTAATGTTTTTCACTTTTTTACCTTTAGTTTCCGCCAAATTTCCTTTACAAATATGATACTATTGTGGTTGAACGTTTGACTGTGGAAATAGATGGACAACACTATTATAGTCCACATGTTTTTCAAGAAACGAACAGTGAATCTGAACCTGTATACGCAAATACAATCTATATTCCACTCAGCAGCGAAAAATTGATTGTAGAGTTAGAGTAAGCAAATTTCTTAGCTAGTCTTAGCTTTCTTTCACGTAAAGGATTTTTTTGCCTTAGATTGCCATTAGTAGCTATTATGCTAAAACAAGATGAATTAATAACATGTCAACCATTAAAACCATACAGGCCGACAGGGAAAGAAAATCTTGGTAAATTTTTTAAAATTCTATGAGAATAAATACTCAATGTCTTTTTTCTAGCTGAAACATATCGATATCCAAATGACTTTATCCAAAAATATCAACTTAATCAATCCCAAATTGCATTTACATTGGGGAAAAGAATTGGTAATAATAGTTACGACATATTTTGTGATACAACATGCTTATCGAACATCATTACGCAAGGTAATATAATTGAATTGAGAGTATTTTTACACTTTTGTGTTTGTATGGAACGGAGAAAATAGCATTCGTAATGCTGTCTTAACACAAAATGTTTAAATTCTGTTCATGTAAGCTTTAATATGACATTTTCTCTCCTTTTTTAGTACTTCCAAACAACGGTATTCTATTTTATGTTGTTTGTTACAGTTACATTTAATCTATTATTTTTAAGATCGCACAATTGTTTGTCCTTCGTGCAATAAGGGGTTTAAATTATCTAAAACTGTCAAACAACCCAAAACTAAAACAAACGTAAAATATCTCTAAATTTGTCTTCTTTTTTATAACTAAACATGTTTTTTCTTTTGTCTTTATAGAAGAAAATAAACAATAATACCGGCAAAAGACGAAGGACAACAAATCGAGTACAAACAACTAATTGTTAAAATGATTGCATGTTCTTGAAAACTTTATGACAAAAATGTGTATAAAAATGTTTTGCTGTCATAACTTCAATTATGTCGTTTGTTTATAAATATTTCACAAGGTGAATAAAAATAGTCTAAGGAAAAATGTGTTGTTAAAAGAAGAGACTAAATAGCGGTTCCTACAGTGTAAAATTGGATAGGCAGACTTGTATATCTATTACTGGTTTGACAGCATTCAACTATTCCTAATAATTTTGTCACAATTTCTTAACAGACAATATTAGTATCGGACATCATGAAACAGCACACATCACACCATTTTCTTGACACGAAGCTTTTTTACCAAATAACATCCATAACGAATTTCTACAACGAGTTGTGAAGAAAATCGATTACGAAAGATTTGCGCCGATACCCAGTGTGTGCTTTTCTCATTCAATATCGTTGATTTATGATCACGACAGTCTCTATTGATAACGTTCGATCATTACTAAGCTGAGAAAGGACGCTTTAAGAAAAACAAAAAAACTTTTAAAATGCGTCAGTATTCTGATGTTTTTCTGTGGATTTTCAACAGCTATTTCTGTCATTTGGTCGACAAAATATCAGATCACATGTATGACCCTAAAAGGGGACGTGCTCTTCAAATAGGTCTGAAACTAATTCGCATTTTGTACCAGACTAACTAAGCTACCGAGGTGTCCAGAAAATTGTGATGATACTGTTCTATTATCTTGAACTCATGGGCAATTATGTAATCCGTATCGCTATAAGATCATGTCTGTTGCAGTTATTGTGTTTTAATCGTTCGTTCGCTTTTCTGCGTCCCCCTCTTGTTCATTTTTTGCGTATATACTAAAACTCATTCAATTGTACACAACATGTAATGAGTCATTCTTTCGATTTGTTGTTAGTAAATAAAAGCTTTGATTAAACGCGTGCTCGCTGACGGAGCCATTATTTGAGAAGTTATTAGACATCATTGCCAAAGTTTTCAAATATGATGAAATTACTGTATTTTGAAGATACTGTTTTTAGAAGTAAAGGGCTAAAAATTGATGAGAAATTAAAGTGCACATAGAATAATTTGAATGGTACGAAGTGTTCGTCATTTTTCAAACTTTAAAAATAGAATTTACAATTTAGTGACTCACTAGGGAAGTTCGCATTCCCTGCCAGTTAGTTCAACACTTGACTGAAGCTATCACAACACAATGATGTATCACGACGACAAAAATAGTTTCATTGGTTTTAAACAAAAACCAATAGAAATTCGTGGATGCAAGAAATATAAGCAAAGAGGGGAAAATGCTGGACATGGTTTCTTCGTAGCAACAAGGTAATTCTAAAGAATCAGCTGAATTGAAAGTAGATTATACTTGTATTATTAATTTTTTCGTGTCACGTAGAGCATCCTCATTATTATTCGTTTAATCAGGGCCTTTAAGGAGAAATAATTTTGAAGTTGATTATAACCTTTTTAGTTCTTTATTAAAAAAATAGAAGTACAAAAGAAAAAACAAATACATAAAAATTACAAGTCTTTTTTAGTTGAACAATCTATGTTTTTAAATAATCGGGTAATAATTTTCCCTGTTAACGTATCATTGAGATCTGTTTCGTATAAATGAAACATTAGAACGCCATCACTACGTAAATAATGTTCGATAAAATGGTTGATATCTTTTAAATTTTCCTAAAACACAGGAGCTGAAGGATTGTAGGAAATCTGATTGACATATCAAGTGGCTTTTCTATAACGAAATTCAATAAGTTAATTTTTTGCACAGCTGATTGTTTTAATACTCACTATAATATAAATATTCAAATATTTCTTGTCCAATATGGGTAAAATTTGTCGACCTAAAGCATTTAAATATGGTCTGAGTGATTTTATGTTGGTATGGAAGTCCAGTTAGTATGCCGAATGACAACGAACTAGCAAACTACCTTTCGTATCAATATTGCTCATGTTGAACTACTTAGAACAAATAATTTAATAATATAAACAACCAACATAATTCGCAATGTATAACATTTTAACAATAACAAACCATACCACCAAATAATTTCCATTTTGTCGTATCTAAATAGAAGCGAAGTTAGTCAACAGGAAGTAGAAAAGGAATGATGAGCGGGACGTTTAGAACACTAAAAGCTTCATAATAGCTTGTTCCAAGCTATTATGAAACTTTTAAAAACTACCGTAAGTACTTACCAATTTTAAATTTTGCACATAATTCAAAAGGAAAATAAAATTATTTTCTTACATTTTAATTAATTCGTACAAACGTTGTTTTAATTGTTCCGAATGATGGTAAAATGGACGACGATATTGAATATTGGATCGAATATAGTCAGCTAGTTCATCATAATGATCGTTTTGGACTGCGCCTGTTGTTTGATTTATGTATCTAAACAGAAATAAAGGTTTTATAAACAATAGTAAATTGCTTGCAGTAGTTTCATTCTTACGTTAGACGGGTGCTAATAAAATCCAGCTTTAAACCAGTACTTCCCAAAATCCACATCCAGACCAGTTCAGTTCAGTTCAGTTTGTTCTGGCATAGCCATGGATACACGAAAAAAAACATTGCTAGTGCAAAAGTTTGTAACAAAATAAAAACTGCGTTTGATTAAGAATCTAGGCAGATAACTTTGTCAACATGTCCATAGAGGAAGAAGAGATGATACAAACAAAATGGTAAAG